TATTGAGCCAAATGCTTTTTTGTAGCCAATATGTGACCAATAAATACCTTGGTTAGGGTGAGGTAATATTTCTAATCTTAATTGCTACCCGCTTACCAAATAATAGATATATTTATTACTGCTTCATCAATGATAGGTACATTTAAAGCATAAGTCAAATTTACTTAACTTTTATAGGTGTTTTTTTTTTGGGGAAGTAAATGTTTTTTGAAGCAAAGCTTCTATACTGACGTTGTATTTTACTTTTTTTCTCTACAGTAAAATGCTGACGCGAACGTCACGGAACTAACGCCACAAGATGGCGTCGTCATGGGTAGAGTCATAGATTAGTGGTTCTTGACATCGATTCACTACTCTCGATCAATTCGTTTCTAGTCATCATATGTGTACTCTAAGCAAGTTTAAATTAAAAACTGCATGAAAAATAACTAACAACATATTAATAAGTTAATAATAAACTTAAACAAGGATTAAAGTGATACAAAAGTTGTTTTATTAATTAAAACATATTTTAATTCAATTCTTTATGTTTTCTAGGCACCGCGAAGTGCAGAAGAATGAAACTGTGTTGAAAGCTTGTTCACCGACAAGTGGAACTATACTAACTGTGTGGGTGCCATTGATGGAAAAAACGTAACTATTCAAGCACCAGAAAATTTAGACACAGAACATTTCAATTACAACGGTTTATTTAGTATTGTGTTGCTGTAGTGGATCTTCTTCTTCTTCGCGTGCCATATCAGAATTATCCGACGTTGGTGATAACCATTGCGAAGGCTTCTCGATCTTCTGCAATATGGAATAATTATTGTCCTGAATTTGGTATCTGAGTCCATTCACGAATGTTTTTTAATCAAGAAACTTGTTTTCTTCCTACACCTCTACGGCCCTCTATTTTTCCTTTAAAGATCAGTTGTAAAATTTTATATCGACTTCCCCTTACTATATGTCCCAGATAAGACATTTTTCGATGTTTAACAGTCTTTAGCAGTTCTCTGTCTTTGTTGACGCTCCTTAGTACTTCTTCATTAGTTTTTCTTGCTGTCCAAGGTATCTTCAGCATTCGTCTATGAACCCACATTTACAATGCTTCAATTTTGTTCATGATCGATACTTTCAGCGTCCACACTTCTGCACTATACAAAAGTACAGACTAAACATAGCACTTAACCATTCTTTGCCTTAGTTCTAAACTGAGATGGTTATTGCAAAGAAATGACTTCATTTTCATAAAAGTAGTTTTAGTCATTGGTATTCTACATTTTATTTATATGTCTGATTCTAGTTAGTCCGTTATCACAGTTCCCAAATATGTCATTTTGTGAACTTTCTCAACTTGGATTCCGTTCAATTGAAGCTTTGCATCGGGATGTGGGCTGTAGTGGATACAAATTATAATTTCACATACGTGAACGCTGGTTGTCAGAAAATAATTTTGAATGGTTGAGGTTTTATTAGTACATTTTTCAAGAAATGTCTAGATGACAACAAGATGCACCTTCCCTATACACGTTCTTTACAGCAATTAAATCATCCTGTTCCATATGTCATTGTAGAAAACGAAGCTTTTCAAATAACCTTAAATCTTATGAAACCATTCTCCGCATTGCATAACAAAGGAAAAAACAAAGGATATTCAACTACCAGTTAAGCAGGGCTCGAAGAGTTTCAGAAAACAATTTTATTAAAGCTAAGTCCAGACAAAAAAGTGTAAAATTGACAATTTACATATTTACAAAACTATTTTAGGAAATGCGGATCAAAAGCTGTTTACTGTTTTGTTGGGATATTGGATACGGGGCGTTATGACAATGGAGAAGTTATTCCAGGTCTGTGGGGACGAGATTCATCAACTGATCAAGTAAATGATGAGAGTAATTTGCAAAATATTTCGTCAGTGAGCATGGGAAACTGCACTTCCAGTACGATGAGTGATTTGAATTTGTTTAATTACATTTATTTTATTTTTAATTCTACTTTCTAGGCAAAATATAGATTCGTTGTAAAATATGTGTATATGTACAAAAAAAATAAATAATTTTTGTGGCTTGTTTATTTATCTATTCCTACTACTAGAGATGTAGAAATATTTAAAAAATAATAATTACCTCCCTACCTTGTAGAAATCAACTAAAAACGAATAAATGTCTGGGAGAGGATAAAATTACAGTTGAAATGTTGAAAATTGGTGGAAGAAAAATAGTACAGGTATTAAATATTTTATTTAATAAAGTAATTGATGAAGGAAAGATTTCTCGAGAATGGTACAACTCCGAAGTCATTTTACTATTCAAGAAAGGAGACAAAGCAAACATCGAGAATTACCGACCAATATCCTTGCTCTCACATCTGTATAAATTACTAACTAAAATCATAACCAACCGCCTAACACATAAGCTCGATTTCTATCAACCTATCGAGCAGGCTAGATTCAGAAAACATTTTAGTACCATGGATCACTTGCACACCGTAAGAACACTGATAGAAAAATGCACCGAGTATAATGTTTCAATTCATATGGCGTTCGTCGATTTCCATAAACCATTCGATTCCATCGAATTATGGGCAGTGCTTGAATCTCTAGAAAATGTACGTATAGATTCAAGATACACTAACATAATTAAAAACATATATGAAAATGCCACCATGCAGATAAAGCTGGATGAAAGCACAAAAGCTAGTCCCATAATACTACAACAAGGAGTAAGACAAGAGACACCATCTCTCCCAAATTATTTAAGAAACTAGAATGGAACAGTAAGGGTATCAACGTCGACGGATCACACTTCATCCTCCCATCTTTTCCGTGGCCTTTCTTTTGGTCTTGCGCCCTGCATTTTACTATCTAGGGCTCTTTTCGGCAATCTTTCTGTCTCCATTCTTACTACATGACCAGCCCAGCGACGTCTCTGAAGTTTAACGAATTTTGAGATCGGAGTCTCTTTGAACAGTTGGTAGAGTTCATGGTTGTACCTGGATCTCCATATTCCGTTTTCGTTAATAGGTCCAAATATCTTTCTTAGGACTTTTCTTTCGAAGACTTCCAGTTTTCTTTTTGTCTCTTCTGTCATCACCCATGCAGGACATACTATTGGTCTGATAATAGTTTTGTAGACCCTGATTTTCGATCTCCGGTGTGTTTTTTGGAGCGGAACACATGATCGAGTGAAAAATAAGCTTTGTTTCCCTTTACTATTCTCCTTTGGATTTCTGGTTTTTCTGTTCCATCCGTGTTTAATGCAACTTTCATTGCATTGCATCCTAAATATGTGAAACTTTCTACCGTTTCAATATCGTCTTCTAATTCAACTGTGCGTCTGTTTCTTGCCTGTGTTAACTTTTTTGTCTTTTGAATATTTATTTCTAGTTCGGTCTCTTTTGCCTTTGTTTTTAATTGTGAATATATTTCTGCTGCCTCTTTTGTTCTGCGAGACATGATACTGATATTATCGGCATAGGCGGCAATCTGTATTGATTTATTTGTTAGGAGATTACCTCTTCATATATTCAGCTGTCATGACATTCAGAGCTCATTTTGGCCTCTGACAGTTGCTGTTGACGAATCCATCGTTGTTTTTACAAGTCGGATGTATTTTTGGGGGTTATTAAAGCTCTGCAATATTTGATATAACTTGTTTCTATTAATTGAGTCGTAGGCTTGTTTGAAATCTATGAATGTGTTGTGGACGTCAATGTCGTATTCCCACGATTTGTTTAAAATTTGTTTCACTGTGAATAGTTGGTCAGTTGTAGATATTCCTTGTTAGAAAAAAAATTGTACGCCGTGCACAAGAGGGTTATGCCTCGATAATTTTCGCATTTCAGTTTATCCCGTTTTTTATAGATTGGGCATATAATCCCGGTTTTCCAATCAGTAGGGATCTTTTCATCATTCCAAATCTTGTTCATGAACATATGCATTTGTCCTATTAGGTGATCGCCATCTAATTTATATAGCTCAGAGGGGGGGGGGGCGTTGTCAATACCTGGAGCCTTTTCATTTTCTTGTGTCCCTAAAAGAGTTTGGAAATAGGTTTTCCAGACTGACTTTATTTTTCTTCTGGATCACTGGTTATTTGCCCTTCTTGATTTCTGCATAGATTTGTTCGGGGTTTGTATCCTTCTCTAAAATTACGTAGATATCTGTACGCCTGTCTTATATTGTTGCTTTGATTTGTGATTTATAATTTCATTTAATATCTGCCAGACATTAAACGAAGAGAAAATTTGGTATAATTCCTTAAATAAGTTTAGAATGAGTCTTTTTTAAAACTTTACATTTTAAGAAAAGTCGGTATAGCTCATAATACTCTGTCTTACGAAACTATACCTTATTTTTTGTGGACTATTAGAAAATGCAATAAAATACAGGGTGTCCCGCAAGAAAAAAATTTAACTTTGATACGCCTGCAATTTATTTGGACACTATGTATATCTCAAAATTTTTGAGATATAATTTTAGAATATAGCTTTTATCAACTTACTTATTAATGTGAAACATTTTTTAAATCTTTTACCCTTTCGCTGTAATCTTCCGTCCCGTTAGTGATGACTTATTCTGTATATTGCTAGGTTTATATTACAGTACATTTTTTCGGCCCCGGATTTTTTAGTAGAACAGCTTTATTTTCGATTCAGAATTCGAACTAGGATTCTCCTAGTTTGAACTTTTATATAATCTTTCTTTGAGGTACCTAATTACTTACAAATATATCTAAACGTAAGTACCATTTTAAATGTTTAATTTAATAGTAAGTTAGATCTGTATTAACTGCTATGATAGCTAATTTTATTATATTTCTTGCTGAAATAATTAGTTTCTGCCTTTAAACGCCAAAAAACTTACTTTTACTGCGTACGGAATTGTAACCATTTCGTTCATTTTAATGTTGTGTTTATAGCATAGTTATCGGTTACCTAGCAACGGAACCATAACATTTCAAACGATGATGTGTTATGGAAAACCAACAATTCGAACATAGTGTGTATAATTTGTAAATATGCCTCCTACAGATGATATTTCACTTGAAAATAAAAATACTATTATATTTAATGCATCCAAACAAGAAATATTCAAGTTGAACGAGAATTTTAAAGTATTTCAACGGAAACTGAAACTTCAAGCAAAAATGATCGTAAATAGAGAAGAAATAACAGAAAGTGTGTTGCAGAATTGTTTGGTTTTTATTTTAGCTGGTTCTCAATTACCTTTTGAAGAGAATGAAATAAATGCAATGAAAAGCTTTATCAAAAAAGGAGGTAGAATGTTAATATTACTAATGGAAGGTAATCCTAATGATACTTGCAACATAAATATATTATTAGAGCATTTTGGGATTATACCAAATATAGATTGTTTGATTCGGACACACTATTACAAGTATTTTCATCCAAAAGAATGCTTTATCAGCGACGGTAGTGTAAACAGTGTTTTAAACAAAGAAAAATATGATATTCAATTTGTTTATCCTTTTGGTTGTACATTGAGTGTAAGTAAACCCAGTTTGGCCGCAATTACAAGTGGTTTAGCATCGTTTCCAATTGATAGGCCAATAGGTGCGCTCTATTATAATGAAAAATCTGAAGGAAGGCTGGTAGCCTTAGGTTCTTGCCATATATTTTCCGATAAGTATATTGATCACGACAACAATGATAAATTAAGAGAAATTACTATGGATTTTCTAATGGGACAAGACAGTTTGGTGTTTCCCGCTGCAGATTATGACGATATTGACTTAACGGATCATCATATAGTACCAGAAACAGCCATGCTTGCTGAGAAGCCCAAGCTATGCCTGAGTGATGCAGTGGGTCAGAATATTGTAGATTACTCAAAACTGTTTGATCACAATATGTATTCTATGAATACCGTGCTGGTTCCGGAAACTATTAAGTTATATGAAGAACTGGGAATAAAACACGAACCTTTACGAATTATAACTCCAAAATTCGAAGCTCCTTATCCTCCTTTACAACCAGCAGTTTTTCCACCTTCATTTAAAGACTTACCACCGCCGCCTTTGGAGCTTTTCGATTTGGATGATGCTTTTAGCTCCGTTTTTACAAACTTGGCCCAATTTACTAATTCATTTATGATGAATGAATCTAATAGTGATGAAAATCTTGAAACCTACATTATAGAATGTTCGAGGATTTTAAATTTCGAGGAGACCATTGACGCTAAGGAGATCCTGTATAAAATTTGTTTGGAAATTTCAGATTTTAAAAGTATTGAAACTATAAAATAAGCTAAATACTAATATTTTTGTTTTACACCTAGGAGACTTGTTATTTGTAAATATGTTATTAAAGTATCTAAATATATGTTTTATATATCATCATCATCATTCTGGCTTTACAACCCTGCGTGGGTCCTAGCCTCCTCAAAAATTTCACTCCAGCCGTTCCTATCCATCACCTTCCTCCGCCAAGAACGTATTCCCATATTTCTCATGTCTTCATCGATGTTATCAATGAACCTTGTTCTGGGTCTTTCTCTTCTTCTCTGACCAATGGGTCTATCAAGGAGCGTTTTTCTAGCTGGGTCATTTTGTTCCATCCGCATTACATACTCTATCCACATCAGGCGTCCTATCTTAATACTTTTTACGATGTCTGGTTCCTGGTATTACTATAAAGTTCGAAGTTGTATCGTCTTCACACTCCATTGTCCTTCACTGCTCCATAGATTCGCCTTAGTGTTTTTCTTTCGAAACATCCTAACATGTTCTCATTACTTTTTGTTATAGCACAGGTATCTGACCCATATGTTAGAACTGGACGTATTATTGTTTTGTATAGTTTTATTTTTGTATCTCACGATATAATTGTGGATTTAAGAAAGACATTGAGCCCAAGATAGCATCTTTTGGCCGTACAAATTCTGCGGTTTTTCTCTGACGGTGTAACGACTATTTTGCTTACCACAGGGTAAGAATATGGGGGACAAGATTGGGCAAACAAAATAATCGAAACAAGTGCATACGGACACTCAGTTGGTTGTTGGAGAGCTGGGTCGTGGATAAGTTGAAGATATTGGGGGTTAGATTGGGGCAACTACAAAAAAAGAAATAAAGGGGTACTTATACAAATCTCCTGGGACAAACAGAATGAAAATAAACGGAAACACCTCAAGAAATTTAATATAGGGCGCCACTTGAGGTGCCCAATTATACCTATTACAACCACTAGTTGTAACTAGGGAAATAATTGTATAACATCAAAATTATAAAAAAAAAATATCTTTTTCAAATAAAACTCAAAATAGATCAGAGATACAAATTAAACATTTATTTTTGTCTCAAACAAAACAGATCAAAAATACATATTATAAAAGAAACATGTCATATAACATAATACAAATATCAAAAACTTACATGTTCTTTGTTTACTCTATTATGGCCAATTCGATTATCAAAAATTAAGGATCCTTCTTAATGAAAACATATAAATTTAACCTTATATATGAAATATCGTTTCTACATAATAATTAAATTAAAATTGTCATAACAAAAAAACAAATTAAGCTTGCTGTCAGGTATCACATTTAATTTTGATGACAAAGAATGAAAGCAATTATTACTTTAGCCAAAAAATATCTGTCTTTACTTTGAAAATTAATATATTGAATTGTTACCTTAAAATTTACATATTTCGTCACTCAACTAAAAAAAAACTTGTTACATCTCTGACTGGAAGCTACTTGTACAAATCCTCTAACTGGGACATAGGAAACATTTCTATACTCAGGAACGAGGTTGGGGCAAACAGATGACACACGAAGCTGGTGGCACACCCTATGTACTGCTTTAAAATTTTACCATGTTCTGGTATACTGCATAAATCCTTTTAGTGGTTTCTCTATGCTAATCCGTCATGTTTACGGAGAGTCCACTGTTTACAGGTCTGATTAATTAACCCATTACACAAAATTACCGGCTGTTTATGAAAAATGCCCAAGTCCTTTCAACTCGAGCTGCCTTACATCACCTGCCTACCTCGTTGCTCTTTTTAATCTCGTCGACCTATTCTCACATGTTTGCCCTGTTTGAAATCTAAATCTCGACTTTTTTGCTTCGTTACATTTTACCAGAATCTAGCCAAAAATTTCCCTTCCGTCTTGCAGCTAACCTGTCCCCACAAACTCAAGAACCAAAACAATATCCCCTCGCTTGTATCGACAAAAAAAACAAATTTTAAATGTTCCTTTATTGCCTAAACAAACAAATATTCTTTTTTTTGACCCTCGACTAATAACGAAAAACAACTTTATGTTAGGGGAATTCATGATTTATTGCGTTTTTAACGAAGAAAACAAATAAAACCTTTTTTTTATCAGGGGGCATCATAAATTTACATAATACAAATTAACAAAATACGTGCGTATTTTAAACTTGAGTTTTACCTGGCTTATAACAAAAGGTTCGATATTTGAATCTAAACACAGACAAAAAAACATCTATATTTACTTTTGAATCGGTAGAAATATACGCATTTAAAAATCTCGTCAAAAAAACTTGAAATATTATTTCGATTGTTTTCTCTGGTAAAAACAACAGGAGCGTAACACAGAAATCTTTTCTATACACTTTAAATAAAAAAACGCTACAATGCCCCTTCTTAAAAGAAAAAACTCGGATAATTCTTATCCAGTTTTTGATAAAGGCAAAACAACAAAAACCAAATCAGAAGATGACCTCTTAACTGAGTCGAAACTTCTTAATAATATCTTTTAGATGATGGCTAGCATGGGATTAAACAACAAAAACAAAGTTAGTTACAAAGAATGGGCTAGCGTGCCATCGATCGCCAGACTCTTTAAAGTCGAGTAGACTGAAATTTTTGACTCTACTTGAACTGTAGGTGACATGAGTTTCTATGCCTTGGGGGAAGCTAACCTTATGCCCTGCAGTGAACCTCGCTGACATTCACAGCAGTAACACAAGTGATTTGTCGGGCAGGCATAGCCATGACACCTCGTTGCCTAAACCAAGTGCTATACACAAATCCAAAATAAATTGCTCTACACTTAATATGTAGGCGTTACTATCTCCACTATACGCCTAGCGAGACAGGGAATTCGGCAACGGTTCCACAAAAAAAATTAGGATATAGACCCAAAATCTATATACCTACATATGACAAAATGTGATTCTCACATGTGTCTCCCAAATGGGTTACCTGAATTAAAATTATCAAAAGTGAAACAATATTCCGAAGGGATGAAATCAAATCAACATATAAACTCGAAAATACAGACATGGGATAGGATGAACTAATTACTTAAAGATGACATATTGTCCTCATCTGACACAAAAGGCTTTAAATCTTTAATGTGCCACTTACCAAGATCCGAACCATTTAAATCTGACAAACGATAAACCACTGGTGACAATTTTTCCTTGATAGTTGCTTCAATATACTTCGGTGCTAGTTTGGACATAAACTTGTTGACAGCACAAGACAAAACCTTATTTCTTTTCCAAACTCTATCACCCACTTGAAATTGGACTTCTCTTCTACGTAAGTTGTAACTCCTAGCGTTACGTTCATATCCTTTTCGAAGATTAGCCTTAACCTTTTCAAAAACTTTATCTAAACCTTTGACTTCTGAAGCATACATATTACGGTCACCTGGAATTATCTCGATATCTTGATTCTGTTGATCCTTATGATCAACACCATAATAGTTTCCACTTAAAGGAACATGACGGCCATAATTCAGGAAAGCTGGAGTATATCCAGTCACTTCATGCTTTGCAGTGTTAATAGCTTGTCTGATCTTTGCTAAATTCTTGTCCCAATCTACGTGGTCTTTAACATACGTACGTATTGCTGTACCAATGGTTCTATTGTTCCTCTCCACAAAATTACACTGAGGTGCATATACTGGACTAAACCATACTTTCTGAACGTTATACCTATTACAGAGCTCAATTAAGATAGGATTGTTCAGATTTGAGGCATTATCACAAATCACATATTGAGGAACACCAAACATTAGGAAAACATCATTTTCCAAAAACTCAACAATATTCTTAGCCGTAGCCTTTCTCAAAGGTTGGACTAAAGTATATTTACTAAACCAATCAGCAACTACTAATAACCACGTATAACCTTTCTTTGAACGAACAAAGGGACCTATCAGATCTATTGCAACTATTTGCCAAGGAAACTTGGCCTCTCTCTGCTTACCCATTTTACCTAATGGAGCATAATTTGGTGTCTTCTGAGCACCACAAACTTTACATGACCTGACAAACTTAAGCACATCAACACGCATCTGGGGCCAATAATATCTTTCCTGAATACGGGACAAAGTTTTGGAAAATCCAAAGTGAGCACACGTAGGTGGCTCATGACAAGACTTCATAGCTTCAGACCTTTGTGGTTTGGGCACAACAATTTTCCATTCTACATCATTAGTCTTAAAAGAATTTCTGGTAGGGGCAAACTTATAAACAAAATCATTCTCCACCTTCCACTGTGGAAAATCAAGGGGGGATCGGATTATCTTTGATCTCAAATTATCGAACCAAGGGTCTATTCTATCTAGATCAATTTCTAAATAACAAATATCTTGGGTAGTTTCTACTGTATCATTGGTGTGAGCTCGAGATAGAGCATCAGGGACTAAATGGGATTTTCCTTTTCTGTGAATCAAATCAAAAGTATGCTGTCTTAGGCGCATGGCCCATCTGGCTAATTTACCAGTAGGATTGGACAATTTATTTAACCAAAGAAGTGAATGGTGGTCAGTAATGACCGAAAACTTGACTCCCTCTATGTAACCTCGAAATTTCTCGATAGCGAAGATCACAGCAAGACATTCTCTCTCTGTAACTGAGTAATTTCTTTCAGCTTTGGAGAGAGATCTACTAACATATGCTATAACCTTTTCTTCACCATCTATAGTCTGTGTTAAAACACCACCAAGACCGGTGTCAGATGCATCACATTGCACAACAAAGGGAAGATCAAAATTGGGCTGGGCTAAAATAGGAGTAGAAATTAGAAGTTCTTTAATTTTCAAAAAAGCTTGTTCAGCTTCACTTGTCCATACTACAGGCTGTTTCTTTCTACGATGACCCTTAAGAAGATCATTTATAGGGGAGGCTAAACTGGAAAAATCTTTAATAAAACGACGGTACCAAGAACACATACCGATAAATCTTTTAATTTCAGTGGAATTAGTTGGTCTAGGATAATTGACCATAGCAAGGATTTTTCTGGATCTGCCTTCAAAGAA